AAAAAAATAAAGAGAGTGGCGACCGAGAGAAGGTACTAAATAGCATTCCTCTGTTGAGGAATTTAGGTACTAAATAATTACTTGGGATGGGTATGTTTTTATGCTATCAACAAATAATAACTTGGGATGGGTACTAAATGATATTATGCATGTGCCGTCTTCAAAATGCTAATATTATATGTGGCAAAAACCAAGTTAATGCTAATACTATATGTGGTTAAACCAAAGCAACAAGAGGACAAAAAACCACCAAGAGGACAAAACTAGTCAAACAGCAAGGACAAAAAAATAAACCAAAGCAACAAGAAGATATGTTGAAATCAACCCTGTCGTCTTGAGCCTCATGATTAAAGGACAAAGAAACCGAAATTAAGGATAAAGAAACCGAAACCAACCCCAAACCCACCACTGGGATACATGGGGAATCGCTTTCAATATTCTGTTTGTAAACTGATCAACTAGTAAGGGGCAAAACCCAAACGACTACTACATTTTGTTTTCACATATATTGGGAAGTGCTTTCACGGTTATTGTATGACAATATGGCATAACATCCTTTTATCCACCTTTCTCATATTGTATCACGGTTATTGTGTGACAATATTATATGTACATATTTTCTTCGGCTTCTGAAGTTTTAAAAAAAACTTTCTAATTAAACAACATGCAACTCAGTGTTCTGAGTGAATTGCTAATATATTCACATCACCGTAATCAAAACAAAATAGTGTTGCATGTGTGTTCACACGGTTGGAAATACCTCTCAAGTTCAAAACTAAGGCAGTTAAACATTCAGCCATAATCATACAGCTATATATTGTAGCATCCCTGCAACAAGTCTACAGTAAGCTTTAGACGGAATAAATGCATGGCCTCATTTGAAATTTTCCCCAACTCCACATTCCAGCTCAGAAAGTCACAGTATTTGATGACAAACATCCCGCAGTCACCGCTGAAAATAGGTAATAAACTGTGAATCATTCCACATTCGCAAATAACATATGTAAATGGTTAGGTAGAAAGTTACTCACCCTCCAACTTGTTGGGCAGAATCCATTACACGATGAATTGGCCACTCACCTTTTCGCAGAGGAAAATCACCAACATACCCAGCTTCTTCTAACAATGGAGTGATCAATTTTGCAAGTGGCTGCACTGCCTTTACCAATATGTGGGTCCTAAACAAATCTATATTTGAATCGTACACAAAAATTTCACAACTTGTTAAATCTAAAACAAGTCTCACCCAGTGCTTTTGCCTCACATTGTACGGCATAAAAAAAATTTTCACGGAAGACCAAGGTTTACCCCACGTAGGCAGTTTGCCATTAACCATTTTCACCAAAGCATTGCTATGGGTCCTATCTTCCTTTCCACCATAAAGGCGCATATGTTGCAAATCTATTGCAGCATAAGTCTACATAATGGCATACCAGTTATGCATCAGTTCAGATACCAAATGAACCAATTTAGCATGCATAATATATTATGGAAGATACATACCTGGAACAGAGTATCTACTATTGCCCAGTCCGAACGCACCAAGTTTGCATATATTGTCTGCCGTACCCTTAGCAAATACAATCCCATGTCGATGTTCTACACCAACAAATTTCCAATATTACCCCAATAAATCGTATAACAGCAGTTATTTGGGCACACCATAAAACAACATTAATACAACAACAATGAAGTTTCTATGTATTTATCTGCAATCTTTTATGAAATTTATTTTAATCTATAACATTATTTACTTCTTATACTTTGACTAATGTCATTTTACCACCCAAACAAATATTATGTTTCAGTTGCTCTATACTTACTGTGTCATTCAACCAACCATCCTTGGTCAAAAGGCGAATGAAGAAGTCATGCGAAGTGTCCACACCATGTTTTCCACATAATCTCACATGCGTACTGCAGGTGTCACCAAATATTAAAATCAAATCAGTTTCACCAAGTTCCTTACCAGAAAAATAAATCAGATTCACCAACAACTCAATAAGTTCTCATAATACAGTCATTTGAATTCCAATAAGTACCAAAGCAGGGAGAACCTACTTTTCTTTTTGTCCCCATTCCCAGAAGAATTTCGCTGTCTCTAGAAGCAAACCACGACGAACTGGCCTCAGGGGGTCAAAAGTAAGACCAACTGTCTCCTCCCCAATATTCGGAATCTCCTGCCTTTGCCAAGGAGTTTTGCATTCCACAGACTTTGGCCGCTTCATGGCAGGCTCAACAATTGAACTCTGTGCTCGACCCCGCTTTTTTTGGACCTTACGCAAAAAAAAAACCTTTCTAATTAAACAACATGCACCTCTGTGTTCAGAGTGAATTGCTAATATATTCACATCACCGTAATCAAAACAAAATAGTGTTGCATGTGTGTTCACACGGTTGGTAATACCTCTCAAGTTCAAAACTAAGGCAGTTAAACATTCAGCCATAATCATACAGCTATATATTGTAGCATCCCTGCAACAAGTCTACGTCATGTACCTTCTCTCCACCCTTCTCATCTTCATCCTCTCTCTCCTCTTCGTCATCCAGCTTTTCATCTTTCATTTCACTGTCTTCAACCTGTGCCTCACATACACTCTCTTCCCTTTGTACTCGTTTCACCTTTACAACAGATGGCACAACCACAGTTCCACCTCCATGACCTATCATTTTTCTCAATGCAGTCAATTCTAACCTCATAACTTCCATCCCATGATTGGTTGCGTTCTTGAAATCTACAAAATTTGCCCATTGCTCACTCTTTTCACAATGCAAAATTTCAATCTCATCCCCCAATCGCTGCACAAGAGAGCTTACTTCAGCAAGGTCCGTACATACTCCAGGACCCATACTAGGTGCATCCTCTTCATGAAAATTAGTTCCCCAAGTCCAGTACTTTTGCCTCAGCTCGAGTGCACTTGGTCGTAGGAGGCGTAACGAAGCATGCTGTCACAAAAACACAGTTCACATGTCATATACAATACACTTAACAACTTGAGTCATGAAATAAACATATTATTTACTGAATACCTGTTTGCTTTGAAAAATATACGCATTCAACTTTCTAAACTCAGGGGTTTTATCAGTAGATTCCCACCGGCAAATACGAGGAACTAATTCAGTTTTGTCCTTCTTCTTACAATATCTCAGAGGCGCCATTTCCAATTCAGGAATCAATTCATACGCCCAAACCTGCTCCAAGTTAATTTCAAAGTCAATAATTATTTATGAACATGACTTTACAAAACAGAAATTATGAACTCAACTTTACAAAGCAGAAATTATGAATTAAACATTACCTGGAAAGCAAAGCTCAATCCCTTTATAGTCCACGCCGGTCTGTTAATTCTTTTACGCTTATTATCCTCCAACTTCTTCTTCCTTTTCACCTTTTCTTTTCCTTTTCTCTGTCGTTTCTCTTTCTCATCATCATTCTAATCACTCTCTCTTTTTCCAGGACTAAACAACAAAGAATCCTGGAGCTGCTCAAATGATATCGAACCCCACGGAAAGTTGTTTAATTCCTCCATATTATGTACCAAGTGTAGATACTCCTCGTTTATCCTAACATTGGGGGCTTTCCCCAATATCACAAACTCTATAAAGCATAGCATTCCCAATTTGAACACGTCCTCACTTCCAAATTTGGCGCTTAAGGATGCTTTTTCTATGTCTTGTAATGTAATGTGATTCTTATTGCTAATATGAGCATCAAGTAGCCGATTTACACCTTCATCCTGAGCCGTTATGTGAGGCTCTACTCCAAATTTCAGACCACTAACTAGACAAAATACTTTTGCACTGAATTGCACCACATTGGACCCTATTGCATAACTAAGCCCCTGTATGTCCTTCACACCAAGTCCAGCCACGCGCCGAAGGGCCAGACCATGCACCATTTGACCACTAAATGAAAGATTATCCAGCTCCATCAAGTGCCCAAAGCAGGTCTCTCTAAATCTTCTCATTTGTTCATCATTAAACTTCAACGCAAAATTAGAGAGTACTGTACTCGGCACACATAGATTATTCACCCTCGCCGAATACACATCTGATTCAGGAAAACAAAGCTCAAACCCAGATTCCATTTTTGACCTGCAACATACACCATTTACCCAACTTAATATATACTCATATTTATACTACTCACATTACAATAAACACATTATAATACAAAAAGGATACCTAAATCCATACGAATGACATATAATCAACACATTCAGATACAGACTATGATACCAGTATCCATACACTATAATGAACACATTAAGAAACTCATATGATACTGATATCCAAACTACTCACAGTATTATCGTGTTGGTTCTGATACACATCCACACTATTATCGGTGATAAAGGAAGACTGGATTGTTTATGTGGCCAGTTCAGACTTAAGAGTATTCTTTCCATTAAACATAAATGACATTATCCTAGCCATTGTAATAGTTTCCTACTGCATCTTTCTAAAAAATATACTCATATGATACCCAAATACATATTATTCACACTGTTATCAAGACATTCAGATACACAATCGAATACCTCTTTCTTAAAAAAAAGATACATAATAAGATACCCAAATCCATATTACCCACTTATTTGCAAGATACAAAACAGACACCCATACCCATACTACACACGTTATTATTAACATATTCAGATACAGAATCTAACTCCGATAGAAATTCAATATGTCTTGTCAGATCACCCATATTCAAGACAAAAAGATAATCACTTAGCATTGACCCCTATGAAATAATCACCTAAATCATTCAAAATCAAATTTTTCGTCTTTGTTTTCTATACAACCAAAAACAATTAAATACTAAAGATATCATCATCAGCAACATCAGAATCATCCTTACTTTCATCCTAATCAAATTGGGGCAGCAACGTGAATGGCTATCTTTCAAGTTTCTCGATACAAAGTATCTTCTACATCAAAGAGTGAGGAAGAGGAAGAGGAAGAGAGAGAAACAGTACCTCTGGATCTTGCCTTTCACGTTGTCGATGGTTTCAACCTCAAGAGTGATGGACTTTCAGGTTAGGGTTTTCACCCAAATAAAAAAGCGTCTTTCTGGTTTCTGTCTGAGAGAGAGAGAGAGAGAGAGAGAGAGAGAGAGAGTGTGTGTGTGTTTTGGTGTATCTAAAACGCGTGATGTGGATGACCAACGTGCTGTTTTTGCTTTCTATTCTACTACCCTTGCCTCAAAATCCAGATGGAAAACGGAATGAGATTTTGGGTTGTAAGATTTTGCACA